TCTCTGTTTATCTGTCGCATTAAATGTCTAATACACAGTTAGCTTATTAATATCAGTGTGTCATATCTAATAAAATACAAATGTCAAACATTTTATATAAAAGTTAGGCAACTGTGACACATTAGGCTGAACAAGTTAAACACAGGTAAATGCTGCAGCTGTCTCCTGTGTTTCCTCGTTGGATGCAGACTCAGTGAAAGGAGGTAGGGAGGCAGAAGGAAACAAGTGGAAATATAAACAGAGAGAAGACTGTGCCAGACTGCTGACAGCAGCTGTACTTTGCCTCCCGAGGGATTAGTTGAGATTTCAGGGTGACTGAGAGGACACTGAGCTGATAGCTGGTTAGACAAGTGCACTGTCTAATTTTCAAAGAAAACCAAAACAAACAGGAAGTTTCTTTCAGACTAAGATATGATGTGGACAGAGCCGGCTACTGTAGAGGTGATGAGTGATCTACCCAGTTAGTTTTTTCTTCTGATAAATATGTGGTATACAGGCCCATTGATCTCCGGGCTTATCTCATTGTTCATACAAACTGTTATCAGTTCTGTGGTCTGATATTAAATTATCATGTAGTAACAAATTTAAAGATGATCCTAATATCTTGCTGCTGATGGGTGCTCTCACTGTGAAGATAAAAAAAAGATGGATAATGGCTAAATGGATTTGTAAAAACAGAAAAAGATAGAAAAACATTGTTCTTTTTTAAAAAAAAAAAAAAATGCAAAAACATTGTTGAAAGTGTTATTGAAACTGTCTGCAAAAATAACACAATAATAGGTATGTCTAAGTAGCCTAAAGGGGAATAAGTGCTTGAAAAAAGTGCTTGTATGAATGGGTGAAGATTCAGATTCAGCTGAGCCAAATCTATGACACTATACCTTTGCTCTGAGGTAATCATAGATTTACAAGTGTGTACAGAAGTATGATCTTGCTGACTGTTTTTATTTGTCCATCTTTGCAACAATACTATTGCTCTGGTGTTATATTTATCCAGTTCAAATGACCTGAACTCTTATGAAATCCATGACACTTGTAATACAATACTGTAATATTGTATAATAACTTAGTGCTCTTTTTATTTATGTTAATTCCAGACATCTTTTTTTCCTGAAACAACCCACCTGAAGTGGGATTGGTGCATGTGAGAGTGGGATGTTTACTGAGGTGTGACTCAGAGTGTTTATTTTGTTATCTCGGCAAACGGGGTTAAGGTTTTTGATATCGTTAGCATGTGTAAGTGTCATTCTGTGTGTAAACACGATAGCCCGAAATGTTTTGAATCAATTCTGATAAAACTTTGTAGGAGTGTAGAGTGGGGTCATGTTAACAGTCCATTAAAAAGTGCCTTACATCCAACAAGGTCTTCAAGTTCAATGTGATGATTTATTGGTGAAAGATTGTAGATTTTTGTCATAGTTTGACAAAGATTTTTATCAAACTATGATCCTTACAAGTGTGGTGTGTGTTGTCAAAATATAGAAATTACCATGTAAAGATTTGATTTTATATTTGACCTTTGACCTCTCCTTAAGGGTTGATTAATTGAGCTGAATGTGAAAATGCTAATAATGACATTTAGAAAAAAATTAAAACTTGTTTTGTTACTGCTTGTATTTATATTAAGAACATATAGGCCTACAGGGAGTGATATATGGGGATTCTAAATACAGTATTACGCAGGACCTCTGACCTCTTCTTTAAGGTCAGATAAGGTCAAACTTTTTTTAGTTCAAAATTTTATAAAATATCTTATCTTTAAAATTCTAGTGCTGTTGTCTTGTCAACATGGAAGAAAAATATCTGTATGTGGGAACCCTAAATATCATGTCACACTGGACCTCTAATCTCAGTTTTACATTTCATATGCCTCTCTTTCAAGTTGATGAGCTGCCTATTTAGAAATATATTGTAGTGTGTTATATAATAAGCTCAAGTTATGTATGTCAAGTTATGTAAGAATTGATATTAATCATCCATTACCCAACCCTACATACTGTTAGTGTAATGAAAGTAAAGATTTTACTGCACTACAAACTTATTAAAGTACATTTTAAAAAGAACTAAGAGGACATAAATAAATACAAAATTAAATACTATTACCTTTAAAGTAAATACTGACCAAAGAGCGAGCCATCTTACAGGAAGTGTGTGCTCTCTGAGTGCTTCTTGTTATAGCCTTTATGAATGCCTTATTTCCTAAATAAGCAAACATACTCAGGAAATCCAAGTAAACTTAAAAATGGAATAAAAACTGATGAGGACTGGTCAGCTGACACGTATAGTGATGCAACAGAAGAATAAAATCAAACAATTCATAAACATTGTTGATAGCAATTTTTATTGAACAGAAGAAACTAACTCAAAGTGAGTGTGTTAGACTGTGGTTCATCATGTTAAAGCATTGAAGCTCATCATCGTCTAATAAAGTGCACTTTCAGTTAACTGCCAAACGGAGAGTCATCTCCTTCCCTCACACAAGTTCAGTCAGGTCCCACACGGTGCAGGACTCTGCACCTCAGCTCTTCTTGGTAGAACACCATCACAGTAAGATACATGAGACCAAGTGCAACGACTGAAAATCTCAGTAAGGGCGAGTGCATAAGTGTTAATGGAAGATCAGCACGTGAAAGAGTCTCTCTCTCATCACACCCGGGTCTGAAAAGTCTGCTATTCCAGCCACCGTTTTCTGCCCTGGCTCAGTTTAACCCAGTCGTTATCATACAGCAGCAGATGGTGGCTTCTGCTCAGTACTCTGATTATGTAATCATGATTGTAAAACAGCACAGTATTTCTTTATTAACGGTTAACGCTAAGCTAAAATCTTTGCCATGAGCGTCTCTATGTTATCAGATCTCAACTTTAAAAAAATATTTAGCTATTCCCAGAAGTGTTTCTCTACATAATATATATGTACAGCTGCATCTTTACAAAGAAAATAATGTTCTGTTAAAGACTGTTGCAAGGTCAGACTCCAGTTTTGGCACGTGTTCGTCATGACTTCACCCAGGAAACAGACTACGTGGATGAGACAGCAGAAACGAGCGCATTCAACACGCCTCTCATGTACAAACACAGACACTAACCTAACATAAGTCCTATTCCTACGTCTTATTTATAACGAGATGTATTTGCGATGGTAATTCCCTCGGATGTGGAGCAAACAGGAATGTTGTTCACATGAATACAAAGTGTTTGATGTTGCGCTAGAGAAAAAAAGCGCCAGAGAGATCATTTACAGTACTGGGGAAATCGTATCAATCACCATTAAATTTGAAGAGATTTTCAGGATTGCAGTGTGCTACATAGGACACGCACACATCATCAAAGTCAGAGACAGATTAAAAGAAAATGCCTAAGCCATAATTCACCATAGAAATGGAAAAGAAAGGACAATGCAGTCCAAGGTTGCAAAGGGACACATAACAGAGGGGAAAAAACCAAACCAAACAGCACATCTACTACTCACAATTAAATGTGCTGTATTTTAATCTCACCGGGAAACATCACACTGGATACTTTCACCTCATATTGCACCGTTTTAGCTTTTTCAGTCAAAAGATTAGGCAGTAATGGGTCGTGTCTCTCTTGCGTCAAGTTAATCTCTTATTCCACATGTAAAATACAAAATTAAACCTAGCTTCTTCTTTTTTTTTTTAACCCGTCCTATCAACTTGTGCGTTTCATGCACTTTATCCTTAACAGCCAGAGCTTAAACATACAGTATGAGCTCTCAAAAGAGCCTTTCACTTAATTACATTACTACTTTGTTACCAGCATTTCATATAAAAGTAATAAATATACCGAGTTCAATAAATAGGGGCGTTCCATGTGAATAACGTATAAAGATTCAGTGGATTTAAGTGAAAACAGCAGGAATTTTTTTTCCCCAATGTGTAGTGTTATGCGTGTAGTGTTTAAGTACTGATTGCTTCTGGTCAGACTAACAGGACAAAATAAAATCTACTACTGTCAACAGCTGACAGCTTTATATTTAGGTAGTTTAAAGCTTGTGAGTTCTCTCTAATTAGTGTTCAGATATTGCTTGAGAAATTAGAAATGCGTGAAATCTCTCAATGCGTATTATACAGTGTTTGTCTCCATCTTCATACATTTCTCATGCACCCACTAAAGACATAAATACACCAAAGCTCAGTTAAGGAAGGGGAATAGCCCTAATGGAAGGAAGTATGATTGGGTGGCACATCATGGAAGTAGATCTTATATATATACATAAAAATGATAAAGTACAATTTCTGAAACTATCTATATGTGTACCAAATCCTTCCTGGTTGAGAACACCAAGTGGCTGCTTGATGCAATGCCTTTTCCTCCACGATCATGCTGTTGAGCATTTTTGCTTTTCATATTAAAGTGCAGTCCAAATGCAGGTGGCTAAAAGACAAGAATCAAAATAAAGAGAGTGACAGAGAAAAGAAACAGACGAGGTAAAACCCAGAGGGTGAGACTGGGGCAGAGGATTGGCACATACTTCAGAGAGGTCTGACTTGAGGAGGGGGAGCAGGATGGGATGGAGATGAAGAGTCTGTTAGGCTGAAGGTTAAAAAACAAAACGAATAAAGTCCTTCCTATCCTTCTCTAGCGTCACTCCCTGGATTGGTAGAAGAGGATGTATCCCGACTCAGAGTTCTTCGAGATATCTGAGGTAAGACCGTAAAACTCCTCAATGGCCTGGGCATCAATTTTCTGCACAACAGAGGTAAGATGAGGTTAAATGGCAATGCAAACAGAGGAGTCAAGGAACATTGAACAAATAGGCCAACACTAACAGTCACGCACCTCCACAATGTCATCATCAAACAGCAGCCAGAAGCCATGACTCTTCACTATAGTGATGTAATGACCTCGATTTGGGCCGCTGAGGAGACAAAAGACAAACATTGAAATCGTTAACTCTGCCCACGCGTACTTCCTCCTGTCGTTTGCACAAAATTAACCCACAATTGGCCACACGTGCACTCACTGCCATTTAATAGTGATTTCTTTTGCATGTTAATCATCTTTAAATTCAGTCTAGTGAGAAAAACAAAAACAAACACTTGAGGCACTTGGGAAATTCTGAGCAGCAACTTTATGTGGTTTGAGAGCTAATACCTTAAATCTGTGAAGATCCTGTAATAATATGAAGGAAGTGACTGTGACCACCACTTTTCAATTCATTTTTATTTATATAGTGCAAAATCACAACAACAGTTGCCTCAAGGCGCTTTATATTGTAAGGTAGACCCTACAATAATACATGCAGAGAAAAACCCAGCAATCATATGGCCCCCTATGAGCAAGCACTTTGGCGACAGTGGGAAGGAAAAACTCCCTTTTAACAGGAAGAAACCTCCAGCAGAACCAGGCTCAGGGAGGGGCGGGGCCATCTGCTGCGACCGGTTGGGGTGAGAGAAGGAAGACAGAATAAAAGGCATGCTAATCTTTTAGGACACATTCACGCCAAGTTTTAAAGTGTTACACTGTCCAGTTTGATCGGAGTATCAGGAATAAATTCAGTCTTTACAGACGCAACAAATTTTAAATGCACTCAACAAAGTGTACACTTCTGCAAAGAGGAAGGAGAGAGCTGGCGACGCAAAGATTATAAAAGATGGACATAGGCACTGTGATGTAAGGAAGTCAGGTTTTATTGCCTCAGAGTTAACATTTTGGCCATCACTTAGTTTTCTGGAAAAAGAAGTGGTTCAGTTACCAGACAATCTGAACTTTGTGTGCCACAATTTGGTGGTGAAGCCCAGCAGAGAGCTCCCATTTACAGCTGCCTTCGTGGACACCCACCTGCCAGTTAAAGCAGCTACACCCACAATATTGCAAACAAGAAGACTTCACAGATTTTAAATTAGTAAATTATGTAAGGTCCTTAACAGCTGCTGAAGAGGAAATTCATTGCAGGGTGCAAAACTGTTTCTGTACAAGGTTGTAAACATGTTTACATCTGCTGTTCACTCCGGTCAGCTGAGCAGCTGTTGCTCTCGGTCCCTAAACTAGCCGAGCTTTCTCTATTGTGGTCCTGAAGCTTTGGAATGATCCTCCTCTTCACATTAGGCAATCTACTTCAGTGGTGGTCTTTAAATCCAGGTTAAAAACGTGTTTTTATTTGCTGGCTTTGGACTCAGTGGATAACTGACACTGCTAATGCTTTGTTATTTTATTTATTATTCTTATTTTACTTTTTTTATTTCTCATGTACAGCACTTTGGTTGGCCATATCTTGTTTTTAAAGTGCTATATAAATAAAATTATGGTATGTTGTGAAACTGAGGATTTGGAATGGGAGCCTATGGGACTGACTCAGTTTTAGTTTTTACTTCATATTTCACTTCTCAGCTTGTGCTGGTTGAAAATTATGGCTGGGCCATATCATACCGTTCACGGTAATACCGATATAATGTTGGGCAACGATAAGAAAATGAAATATTGCGATAGAATATGGTAAAACGCGCATGCGCAGTGCCTTTGTTTTCATATGCATATGGCAAAAAAAGCATGGCGGAGAATGAGAAGGGTGGAAGCGAGTCGTTGAATGAAACGGATAAACCAGAATTGGTTTGTAAAAATGCTGCAACTTCAGTGGTGTGGAACTAGTTTAGCTTTCATCTGTCAGATACACAAAGCACTATTTTTGGTAGAGCATGCTAGCGGGCCGTCGTTATTACCGTGTTTTTTGGAAAATACCGCACACCTTAAATCAATCCTTTGATTTTTCTGAAAATCGACAGTGCCCCTTATAATCCCGTGTGCCCTTGTATGAATTCTGGTTGTGTTTACTGACCTCGAAACGATTTTATGTTGTACACGGCGCTCGAAAATCTATCAAATGTTTCAGTACGACTTTACTAAGCTACGAAGCCGCACCGCTTGATGGATTGTCGGAGCATTACGGCTATCGTAGGCAGGAGCCTCACGGAGTGATACGTACTGTGCTTCAACATAATATTACCGTATTGTCTGTATAACCTCTTTAAGTTTTGTGGATATTATACATGGTTATCCTGAGGATATGTCGGCCAATTTCCACTGGAAATGCCTTTTGGTTAAACTGTCAGCAAGGAATTTGCATTTGCACTGTTAAATTTTATATAACTTTAATGCACATAAAAAACAGCTGCTTGTTTAAGTGGAAATACGAAGTATGCATTTTAAAATAAAAACCTATTAGTGTGGATTTACCCAGAGACCTGAAGCCTGAACTATAAAACAGGATGTGGGACTTAGCGAGGTAACTGCAGGTTTAACCCCTGATTTTCAGGAAGATGGTTCCCTTTTTACTGAGGTACATCTCTGTGGTCATTTGTGTTGCAGATGTAACCAGCTCTGTAGCAGGTTACGCTGGCAATAAGAGATCAACAGGCATGAAATCACCTCCTACTGACCAATTGATTCACCAGAAAATAACATTATGATTCCTGGAAGATCCCTCAAACCTCTGAGCAAGGATATCAGCAGGGTCTAAAGTTTTTCAGCAGTTTCTAAAGTCTCTGTCTTTCTCTGATGACGCAGATCGGGAAAGCCTAGGTTGACTTACGAAGCTCTTTGAGTAACTGCTTAGCCTGATTGCTAACGTTGGGGCAGGTGAAGCCAGATAAGGAAAAATGTCCTGACAATGTTGAATTTGTTTCATAGTGCGGGGTTCTCGTTCCACTGCCTTTATGGGTCAGCTGAAAAAACGTAAAGTCTTATCAGTGAGTTGGTAGAGGCTTAAAAAAATTAACCGTGTAATTTTTTTAAATTCCAAAACATGACACAATAGCAGCCTTACATATCTACTTTTACCAGGTGTGACAAGATCCATCACACATACTTTTGCTATATGTATAATAATCAGTATACTATACCTTCCACAGTGCACCACCACAGCTACTAGATCATACATGCGATCCAGGTTGACTGCATCCCCAGACGTGTTAAAAAGCCGGAGTTCTAATGGGAAAACCACCCGATAGGACAGCTTGGTGTAGCGGTGCAGCTGCTCCATGTACTTAAACCTCTTGAGGTGTAGCGCCAGGATCATAGGAAGTTTCTTCACACGCATCCTGCAGTGAAGAATACATGCTTAGGAAGGAGCCTTTCTGCAGGAACATAACACTGGTGATCAAACGGAGTGCTTTACTGACCGTTTCTGTGCTTCCTGCTTGCTGCAGCATGTCTCACAGTAGTATTTGTATTCACTGCACAAAGTCTCTGTGTTACTAAAGTCCCTGGAGGAACAAGCAGACCACAGGAGGCTCAATTACTGAGTCTCACTCACACCAAAGGGAATATGTCAGCTCCGTCTGAATGTATAATAAATCAATACTACCTGAGACAGTGTGTTATTGATGTGTTCTGCTCTACATCCACAGAAAGATCCAGAAAATCCTCATCTTTGCTGCTCACCTGACAGACAGCGAGAGACACCGATGTAACTCATCTGTTGTTACACTGACAGAGTCAGTGAGACTAAGCCTGCTGTTCTGTGACAGAACAGCCACCCACCCACACCTACACACACTCAGCCAGTCTTTGAAATGCTTATTTGACTGAATGGCTTTTGTCTCTGCACCCTGCATCGCCTTGGTGTTTTGCAGGGGTTGTTCTGGGCAACCTGTCCCACTCCTTGCCCTCAAAAAAGGTGAGGACAAAACCTCAGACGGCCCTGACGTAAACC